ATGGAGTTATTTCAGTAAAATTGTTTGGTTTTTTTTTTAAATTACTGCAATTAAGGCAACATGTATTTAAAACCAATAAAGGTAAATTTCACCTAATTGTAATTTTTCTGCAAACTCAATTTCACAGAAATGGCTTCACTTATTCCTGGCAGACGCTACCAGTCCTGCATGTAATTTTTAATTAACTTTTAATGCACTATTAAGAGCATTGTTACGCACCAATTTAATGTCTCCCAAAACAGTTCATTTGAAGGCATGCCAACTGTCAAGGATGCAATTGTGCTTATTTCAGTTCTCCACGGAACTTTAAAGCCTTCCAATGGCTGATGTCATAGCTGATCACATGAGCAGCTCCATGACCGCTGCAATCCAAATAGAGGCAAAGATGGCACCTTCCTTGGCTGTAAGGGATAGGAGGTTGTGGTTCTGCTTTCATGTGAATTTCAACCTTCAAGCACAAGTCTATCCAAAACTTTTTTTTGTTTTGGATAGTGCGAGTAAAAATTTTAATTCCTGCTACTGGACTTTTTAGAGATTTTTTTGTCTGCCTTACTCTCATGGTGACAACGGTTTCACTAGACAGGAGGTAAGGGAAGATCGCTAACAGCATCGCAGAGAGAAATTAAAAAAAAACTTGCAGGGATTCTAGCCTTCCCCTACTCTACTATGAAAAAAAATATTTTCAATCATGTCTGTGTTGCTGTTGGAAATTTTCCTTTGATATCCTTCCTGATGAAACCATTGTCACCATGAGATTAAGTGAGGGTAATCTCCCTGCATAACCGTAAAGGTGCAACGGAGGTTCTAATATTTCCTCACCCAATCATACAAAGTTTTGGTTCGACTTGCACTTCACCAACACCGAACTGAAATTGCAGTCTAAAGCTGGCCATACACCTATAGACTATCTGCAGATTTTCTGTGGTCAGGTGAAAAATGTGCAACAGATTCCTCCATCTACGCTAAATTGTGTGGATGAGGGATCTCCCACTGGGCCAAGCTTCAGTATCTTGCTAGTCAGCCCTGCTGACTGTCAAAATACCTGAACAATCTGATTTTGACAGCCCGTGGGGCCGACTAGCAAGATACGGAAGCTTGGACCAGTGTGAGATTCCTCCATCCACACAGTTTTTTCTTATCTTATGATAGTTGCCGCTTGTAAATGGCAGATTAGGGATTCCTGCTGCAGGAAAACGCAAGTTCCTGACACAGGAATCTCTAATCACACCTAAAATATACTGAAGGTGTGAATGGGGCCTAATATACACATACACTAAAGGTGCCCATACACCTGCCGATTATCGTACGATAATCGCGGGTGTATGGGCAGCGTGTCACCGCTTCTACTGTAAGGTCGTACGACTTTTGTCTTCCAAACAGGCTGGAAAACCTGCCGAAAATCGCACGATTTTTGGCGGGTTGGTGGCGTGGCCGGAAGACGAATGCCGCAAAGGCTGGTCTGCGCAAGCGCACACTGCCCGCTCAGCACTGCAGTCATCGCAAGTACGATCTGCCTGTCCAAGATGGGCAGATCGTACGAGATTTTTATGACCTTACAACCATCGCACAACGAAAGTCGTGCAATGGTTGTAAGGTGTATGGGCAGCTTAAAACACAATAATGCACTTTTCAACGTTACACCCCCCCCCTCCCTGCACAAATATAATAATAAAATTCCCCACGCACACAAAAAATAATACACTCCCCCTGTTATAAGCCCCCTAACACACATAAAACAATATACTCCCCCCTTTTTAACCCCCCCACACATAAAATAATATACTCCCCCTTATTAACCCCCCCCACACACATAAAATAATATGCTCCCCCCTTATTAACCCCCCCACACACATAAAATAATAACCCCCCCACACATAAAATAATATACTCCTCCCCCTTATTAACCCCTCCCACACATAAAATAATAATACACTCAATCCCCCTCAACTGTTCATGTCTTTGCAGGGAGGAGGCTGTGAGCAGGATCGATCCCCGGTTTTCTGGGGGTGATTAGTGGGGTCTGCAGTAATCACCCCCAGATAACCAGCGATCGATCCTCCTCACATACATCCTTTCTTTCGGCCGGAGCTCAGAACTGTCAGAGCTCCGGCACAAGGAAGCCGGAGCTGCTCTGCGGTCTGCATCCGACACAGATGCAGACCGTGGAGCTGCTCCCGCAAGTCAGATACGCGGTCTGCAACCGTGTGCCTGACATATCAGCTGTCTGCGGGCCACATAGTACCGGCTCGCGGGCCGGAGTTGGTCCGCGGACCAGTACTTGGAGACCCAAATTTCCACTCGCCCTCACTTTTATTTTTACTCGTCAAATGCGAGCAGGCGAGTGGAAATCTTTAGCCCTGATGCAGTCTGTGGTAAGATCTGTTTCTCTGCATTGTCTTCCGTTCTAAATGTTTCAGCATGAAATCAATTGCCCCCAAATAATGTAAACTAGATACTGGACTCTGGCATCTTTCAACTAAAATTTTGAATTGAAAATTAACATCTCGCTTTTGAATTTAGTGTGCAGTCCTCAAGTGTTTACTGTCCTTTCCACTGTCCAAGACCCTTTAAAAGATCTCTGCTATAATTGGTATGGATGTAACAGTCTGCGTTCTATGTGTTTCTATGGCACATGATTATTTCTGTAACCTTTAGTGGGTTTTCATAGGAATATATGAAGAACTGAGGTTAGTGACAGCTTTATTCAAAATACTTAGCTCTGGGTGTCATGTTGGTACAGAAATGTGGGAGGGGTCCTTCTCACTGGCACCCCAGGCAGTGTTGAAAACCCAACATTGGCTTGAAAGTTGACATACCATGTTCAAAAATGAGAAGGCTATGATGGTTAAAGTGAATTTTTGCCCAGACATTAAAGTGTTAACATGTGCATCACACTTAATACTGCATAGGGCAGAGTTAACATCAAAATATCAGCGCTGCTCTCAGCAATGTTGAAGACAATCTACTGTTGTACGGGGAAGAGAAAGAAGACTGTAAAATGTCCCACGACTGGCCAGAAGTCTCTAGGAAAAAAGAGATGTATTAAAGCATTTCCAGCAAGACAAAGGTCTGTACCGCATAGCACAATTCTTTAAAGGTCGCAAGCCACTTACTTTGACGTACTGTCGGGAGGCTTTACACAAGCCATCTTCGGAATACTTTCATTACAGACAATTGTTACATTTTTTAGGTTCTTTGAAAACACCTAACGTGATGTCTCCCTTTAGAACAACCTACGAACAGTGGTGTCTTGGAGCCGGGGGCCAGAGGGGGGGAGTTTCTCTGCTCTATTCCCTCCTGGTAGACTCTGAAAGTAAATTACCCTATATGTTAGCTTGGGAACAAGACCTGGAAAGGGTTATTCCTCTGGAGGTCTGGCATCAATGTTGTTCCCGTGTGTCATCAGGTCTACTTAATATTTCACTAATAGAAGCTAATTATAAGGTTCTATCTAGGTGGTATATGGTCCCTGCCAGACTAGCGAGAATATACCCAATAAAGCATTTCCAAAAACAAGAATTTAGATTGATATTGCAGCTGTCTATTCCTTAGATGAGATGTCTACATTAGTTTTCAGGCTTTTTTTTCCCCTTCTCACCTGTCAGTCCTGTAAATAATGCACTTTCTTGTTTTGGATGGCTACTATCACACCTCCACTGTATCTGTGGATGAATCAATGGGTGCTACCCAGTCTGGACTTCAAACATGTCTGCCTTTTGTTCATCTCAATTACATGGCGACTAGTGGGATTAGTAATTTGGATCACAGGAAATGACAAGGACATGGTATTTCTAACAATCTTAACAGATATTTTCTATACTTGCCAAATTGCTCTTAGTCTGAAAAATTAAAACTAATACAACCACAACATTCTAGGACTGATCAGCTGCAATATATAACATTTTTGTTCTTGGATTTAATTATGCTTTTAAACTAGAAGGAAACACAAAATGTAAGCAGCGTCCATCATGGCACTTCAAACCCTGCTTATTTGACATTTAAAAAAAAATCTAAACTATCAGAAATCACGAAATAGATTATTTTTAAATCATTACATGCAGTCACATGACTGCAAATCCTCCATGTTAGTGTCTTCCTTTCTGGGCATTGGGTAAAGACTTTCCAAATGCTTGACATAAGAGCAGGAAGCTCTGTCCAATTAGCTCCTGGTTGTATCGCAGAGAAAAGTCCATCCTTCTGATATTGACAGAGGCTTGGCAGTATTTGGGAAGTGATTGGTCAGCTATGTCCGTTCAGGGGGACCTTTGACGGCCCTCAGAGCTCTCCCACTAAGAGCGTTTAGCAACTGGGAGTACTGGGAGAGTATACCCTATGACTCCAATCAGCTAGAGTGAGAGAATGGGCACAGTGTAGCCAAAAAGCTAGGAGAGAGGCCACACCACACAGTCCGACCTCCTTACGCTTTGGAAGAAGACGTGTCTGGGGATACTTCCGGATACTGGAACTTATTAACGACTTAATAAGTGGGTCAACAGATAATTTCTGTATAATAACAAATCAGTTTTAACATGAGCTATTATGTGCAACTAATGACAATGATTTTCATTTTTTCCTCAAACACTTAAATGGAGTTTTTAAAAATGGGTTGGGGGGAGGGGGCCTTTTCAAAATAATGAGTTTTTTTTTATTTAAAAAGGTCTGTTTTCATTTAACTGAAATTTGAGCTATGTGTGGGCACTGTATCTGTCACATGCTGTAGTGAGCAATATACCAGAGTTTCTGGCTCTGCATCACCTGATGATTGAGTTTCACACATCTTGCTGCTACGTCTTCAGTAGTGTTAAAATTGCCATTACTGAGGATCCAAGAATCTTATTATATTATAAATACATGTGCGTTCTGAATGTGCTTCTGCATTTCCTCTCTTTATTAACAACATTTTACATGAGAAACGCATAGCTTTATTTTTGATTTACCATACGTCAGAAGGGAACACATGCATTTTTATATATATAAATTTGTTTAATTTCTTCTATCAGGAAGAAGAATATCCTCCACGGGATGACTTCAGTGATGCTGACCAGTTAAGAGTGGGAAATGATGGAATCTTCATGCTGGCTTTCTTCAGTAAGCTTTTAGCCTATCCTTTGTATTGTGAATTAAAACAAAATCAGTTTGATCTTGAGTCCACTGTGAAGCCATGTGTTTCCATTTTAAGCTTAGCTAACCTTTTTGTTAAAATTAAAAGAGTACAGCAGAGTGAGACGGCATAAAGGGTAATTAACTTGCTGCATACACACAATGCAAACAAAAATTAAACAGTCAGGATATAGTGCAACATACTGTGCTTTTCTTTCATGTTTTTTTCCTATTTTTGTTTGTGTCGGGATGTTTGCACAGTAAGTATTTGAAGCTGCCCGTACACTGATTTGTATATTATTATTATTAATACTATACAGGATTTATATAGCGCCAACAGTTTGTGCAGCGCTTTACAATATAAGGAAGACATTACAATCACAATACAAATCAAGACAAGATGGTAAGGAGGGCACTGCCCATTAGGGCTTACAATCTAAAAGGGAGGGGGCTTACTATATCTAGTAAGCGCAGAGCCACCGGTTGATACAGTACCACATCCCTGTTGGAAACCAATAGTCAACAAATGGATTATTGGGGCTTTATAGGTACCATGGACACAGCACCTTAAAACATGATGTACAATGATGTTTTGTTAGTAACTTGCATAAAATCAATTAAAACACATTACTCAGGTAAGCAACACCTATAAAAACCTATATTCCATCATAGACGAGGACTACCCAGTATAAACATACATTCACATCGATGAGGCTACCCAGCAGTGCCCTGCCGTGGCACTAGTGGCTGGCTATATGCATATGGCATTGCACCATTAACTGTAATTTACAGATAATTATTCAGTTGCCTCCAGACTCTTCCTGAGGAAGTGCAAGCGAAACGCTTTGAAGGTCAGGCCACTCTTCAAACTATGTATACCCGGTGAATTTACTGAAACAACATTTGGGATAAAACTCTAAGAATCGGTTATTTTGGAGTGGCCCTGGGAGGCTGGTCTGATATAACTATTATTACACAATGTGATGGAGTAGATGTTTTTGTTAGTGTTACTTACATAAAATCAATTAAAAGAGATGACACAGATAAGTTAATAAAAAACTGATTTTATATTGTGTTTTAAGATGTTTTGTCCATGGTACCTATAAAGCCCCAATAACTAATTTGTTGCCTGCCCATACACTGCTCGAATATAAATGAAACCTGCTGACTTGGCAGAAATTCCAGCAGTGTGTCAACCCGTTGGTGTCCCCCCATTCAACTAAAGTCAAGTTTTCAATTTAATTTTGTGGAAGGAGCCAGTCTGGTTATAGTCACTGTTCGTCCAACAATTTTCAAACTGCTGCAGTCACTGTCCGGGTATTCTGACAGCGACGCACCTGACATTTTCGGAATACAATAGCCCTGTTTAGCATTAATGAAATGATGGGGAAATATGAATAGTGTATGGCCAGCTTTATACTTTGGTTAACAATCTGTTTCTAGCATGCGGATTGGACATTGAATGAGCTATAGCACATTTAACAAGTACATTGCTCTGCCTATTATGTGCTTTTCTCTTGCCAGCATGCCCCCAGTGTTGTATCGACAGCACTTTGCAGTTCAGTAAAACCTCACAGTCTTTCATTGCTGATACTGCTTGCTTGTCTACTTTGTGGTGTGTCACAGAAATGTAGTGTAAAGATATATTCAGGTATTTAAACTAGCTGTATTTAAATGCATTGTCTGATGAGTGTTTTTTTAATGAGTATATTAGGAGTAAATGCTGATCCTATATTATTGTCCAGGAGCTCAGAGTTTAAATGAAAACACAGCAGTGTAGAGTCGGATCCGAGAACACCTGCAGCTGAAGCCCTTCCAAGCAAACACATTTAGGCATTTTTTTGCATACACACATTTTCTGGGGAATACAGGCACGTTTGTGTGTTTTAGCACACAGCAATACTCCTCATTTATGTTCTTTAGGAGACCATAAAAATGTAAATTGCAGGATCTGGGAAGAATCGCATTGAACATTTGCAAATAATTAAAGACATTATGCTCTATTATTAAGAATGGATAGTGATACAGTAATTTGCACTTATAAACAGCTTGGTAAAAGCTTACTTTTCATTTTTTAAACAGAATATTTTCTAGTGCAATGATCAGAACTCTTCCCAAATACCAGTGAAGTCTGAACTCAGGTGTCATGCATTCTTCAAAGACAATTGACTGGTGTCAGTTTCTTATAACTGTCAAGGGAACAGTGAATGCTAGTCTGGAAGCCAATACATAATCCGGGTTTTGGAAATAAAGAGGGGAAAGGTGCACATTTTATATGTGTGAGAATCTTGTTGACCATGGCAGCTGTTTTCATAAACACAGGTCAGCGTTTCCAAAGGAGATCACTGGGACCAATAAAAGAAAACACACAAACTCTGATCCAAAGATGAGAACTAGCTACTGGATATTACATTCAACATGATGTTCGTAAATTCATTTCAATCTAATAGGCATGCTTTTCATTTACATTTATGTAAAAATGGCTTTATTGCTGACTTCAGCCACTTTAGTATTACAAAGAATACTCAACGGATATAAACTACAAAGCACAAATGTACTCAAACTTCATGCAAGTTGATTGTTCGAACACAAATGTTTTAGACAATCAAATTGATGTTTAATTGGTTGAATGAATACATTTGCTGTAGTACTGCACCTACCTGGATAAGACTGGATAGATGTGTGATTTCCAGCCTGTGTTAGTTTAACATTCTTTTTATATGTAGTTGGATATTTTCTCTGGCATCCAGGTCCATGCCACCCAACATAGTGCCATTGATTAGATTGTGTATTTCCACTTGATGAAAAGGCCTCTCCTTTCAGGGCTTGACAAATACCAGGTCGCCATGGCAACTACAAGTTGCGTCCTGGCGCCTGGGCTTTTGTCAGCCCCTCTTTCCATTCAGCGGCTTCCAGCCGCTGGATGGGACACTTTTTTTTTTTTCTCTGGCTCTCGAAAACTGGCGACAAGTGCCCCATCCAGCCCCTGAGAGCAATAGCCAGCCTGCTATTGGTTATTTTAAATTGCACTAGCCAATAGCAGGCTGGCTATTGCACCCGCCCCCACTGCCTGCTGTCAATCAGCAAAAGAGGGCCTGAAGGAGAACAATCTCCGTCAGTTACCTCCTCTGCTGATCGACAGCAGAGAGTGGGTAGGTGCAATAGCCAGCCCGCTATTGGCTGTTGCAATTTGAAATGGCCAATAGCAGGTTGGATATATCTTCCAGCCACTGCCTGCTGTGTTTATATGCAGCTGCCATTCCCTAGCGAAGTGGAAAGGTGACACTTGGGGTCTCCCCTTAAAGAGATTCTTTCATCTCCAAAGTGCTATCACATAGGCGGCTTGTGAGCCCCCAATGTGATGGCAATGAAGTAAAAAAAAAAAAGTTGAAAAAAATTGTTAAACTTAAATAAAAAATACACAAAAATAAAGCCTGCAAACTTGCGCATTTTAAAAAGAAAAAAAAAAAAAAGCCTGGCTCCTAACTTTTTTTTGCCAGCTCCTAGATTCACAGAAAATGTGTCAAGCCCTGTATTAAATTGACGATAAACTCAAGAGATATATCATAAAAATGCAGTCAAGTACCTCAAGGCCTTGTTCACACCAAATGCAGAGCAGATTCGGTCAGGTTTCTGCACACGCAGTGCAGTGGGTTGTGCCGCGTTTTTGATGCGTTTTTGCCGCGTTTTTAATGCATTCCGGGCCGTTTTTGGTTAATTTTTTTATTTTTAAGTTTAACATCGGCTTTCAGGCACTTGCATGCATTTTGATGCGTTTTTGATGCGTTCCAGAGCACTTAAAATTGAGCTTGCTGCAGTTTTTTCACTGGATCTGCACGCTGCGATGTGAACTGGAGCTCAAAATACCATAGGAATACATTGGACGCAGTTTTGATCCGGTCGGCACCTGCTTTGCTCTGGATCTGCTCCGCGCTTGGTGTGAACAAGGCCCAACTGTTAACAAAAATGTATCGTATTTGTGTATCACTCAGCTGTGATCCTCAAATCATCTCTGAATTGGTGCTGACACTGTCCTTCCTTCTGGAGGGGGGCTACTTTTGTTCCCCATGGTCCCTGTGTGTGTTGTAAAGTAGTCACCGCTCCAAGCTCACTCCTTTTGATGGGGCTACAATCTCAAAACAAATTAGTAAACTAAACGTGAGATTTTAGTCCATCATGGGAGTAAGCTTGGAGCGGTGGCTACTTTATAATTCACACAGGGACCATGAGGTACAAAAGTAGCCACCCTCCAGAAGGAAGGACAGTGTCAGCAACAATTCAGAGGAGTGGAGGCGTGTGGGTGACAAGGGGTTCCCTACAGGGATGATTGATTTTCTAACTATTTGATGAGTTTTAATACCCCCAGTTTTCCCTTTTACGGCTACTAACAGGGCCCGAAGGTAGTAGTTTATGAATTTCTCTCCCCAAAATGCATGTTATGGAAACTTCTGCTATAAACATATATTCCATGACTTATCCCCCAGAACAACCAGTCTGGCTAGGAACGTTTGAGTTAAAACAGCCCTTAGCTTAAAGCAGACCTTTACCCATATCTTTAAAATGACAACAAACACACCTTTTAGAAATGTTTAGTAATGACAATCTACAAACAAATACTTCTAGATAATTTCAGGCTTTGTATTCTTTGCATACCTTATTTCTATTTTCTTCCCCAGTCTTCTGACAGTGGCCATGTTAATTAAGGGCAGATTACTAGCTCTCCTATTACCTCCTGGATTACTGGCACATGTGTGTGTGTGTATGTATGTATGTATGTATGTATCTCTGGAAGTGGCACTTTTATTTTTATTTTCTTTAATTTTCATATTCTACTCTTGAACTGACAGAAAGCAGTACACAGCCAACTGTACAGACAACTAAAATTAAAAGATTTTTAAAATTATGTTGTCTTTAAAATCTATCTGAATACCATTTAACCTCCCTGGCGGTCTAATTATGCAGTACTTTTGCATGCCAAAGCGGTACAT